GTACCAAATTTCAGTATACTTTTTAGCCACGGCGTTCTGTGGCTGATAAGTATACAAGATTTAACTATACTTTTTAGCCACGGCGTTCTGTGGCTAAAAAGTATATCAGATTTCACTATACTTTTAGCCACGGCGTTCTGTGGCTAAAAAGTACCAAATTTCAGTATACTTTTTAGCCACGGCGTTCTGTGGCTGATAAGTATACAAGATTTAACTATACTTTTTAGCCACGGCGTTCTGTGGCTAAAAAGTATATCAGATTTCACTATACTTTTAGCCACGGCGTTCTGTGGCTAAAAAGTACCAAATTTCAGTATACTTTTTAGCCACGGCGTTCTGTGGCTGATAAGTATACAAGATTTAACTATACTTTTTAGCCACGGCGTTCTGTGGCTAAAAAGTATATCAGATTTCACTATACTTTTAGCCACGGCGTTCTGTGGCTAAAAAGTACCAAATTTCAGTATACTTTTTAGCCACGGCGTTCTGTGGCTGATAAGTATACAAGATTTAACTATACTTTTTAGCCACGGCGTTCTGTGGCTAAAAAGTATATCAGATTTCACTATACTTTTAGCCACGGCGTTCTGTGGCTAAAAAGTACCAAATTTCAGTATACTTTTTAGCCACGGCGTTCTGTGGCTGATAAGTATACAAGATTTAACTATACTTTTTAGCCACGGCGTTCTGTGGCTAAAAAGTATATCAGATTTCACTATACTTTTAGCCACGGCGTTCTGTGGCTAAAAAGTATATCAGATTTCACTATACTTTTAGCCACGGTGGTCTGTGGCTAAAAGTATATCAGATTTCACTATACTTTTTAGCCACGGCGTTCTGTGGCTAAAAAGTATATCAGATTTCACTATACTTTTAGCCACGGCGGTCTGTGGCTGATAAGTATACAAGATTTAACTATACTTTTTAGCCACGGCGGTCTGGTGGCTAAAAAGTGTACCAGATTTCAGTATACTTTTTAGCCACGGCGTTCTGTGGCTAAAAAAGTATATCAGATTGCACTATACTTTTAGCCACGGCGTTCTGTGGCTAAAAGTGTACCAGATTTCAGTATACTTTTTAGCCACGGCATTCTGTGGCTAAAAAGTATATCAGATTTCACTATACTTTTAGCCACGGCGGTCTGTGGCTGATAAGTATACACGATTTAACTATACTTCTTAGCAACGGCGGTCTGTGGCTAAAAGTGTATCAGATTGCACTATACTTTTAGCCACGGCGGTCTGTGGCTGAAAAGTATACCAGATTTAACTACACTTTTTAGCCACGGCGGTCTGTGGCTAAAAAGTATACCAGATTTAGGTATACTTTTTAGCCACGGCGGTCTGTGGCTAAAAAGTATACTAGCGATCAATATGTGTGCAAAACTTCGTTCTGGTTGCTGTCTGAAATTTAGAAATGATTAAAAACATTTCAAACAATTTTGGATTGTTACTCGGTCATTTTAGAGTAGTTTTATATGGTTAACCCAACTCCTGACGTCATCCAAACCATAGTCAATGAGGTCAAGAATTAGTCCAAGCTAGCGGGCAGCTAATAAATTTCGGTCTAAATATTTCGAGAATTAAGCAAGATATGACAAATCAATAATAGAGTTTAACATATAATTTTAAGAGTTCTTTTGAATGAGACAAACTATGTCCTTTAACCTATTTAGATGAGTTATTAGCATAGAATGACCAGTTGCCATGGCCACTGCAGAATACCAAAACTGTCCTACATTGAGATACAATTCTATCTAAACTAAAAGTAATCTTTATATTTTAATATTTGTTTCTTTAAAAGGTGATCCAACGCGGACGATGTGGAACTGAGATAAGCTGCCGTTGCGTCCCGACACATTTTTTGCTGTCTAAATGTGGACCTGGGCGAGCAAGGCGCATGCTTATGAAACACGTGCATTAGCCCGCGATCGGGCGCTCTAAACACCCTAAACCGTCCACCCTTTACGAACTTTTCGAAAAACTCGACATCCTCTAGTCCCCAGCCCCTTATTGTCGTGTTAAAACCCCGGACGGCGCTGACGTCATCGCTGTAAACACAAACAGGCCCGTAGCTGTAAACTCGCCACAAACCCGCGTCTTTTTCAAACGTGAACACGTTTCTCGGCTTCGTTTTCCCCGTTCTTGTAATATTCGGGTGAAATTTACTAAACATTATGGGAAAATAGATTTGTTCTTTGGGAATCGTATTCACCCGACAACGATATAAATACTCGGTGTTGAAAACTAAATCAACGTCAGTGAAAGACAACAGCGCTTGCTTGCCAAAATATTTCGAGCCCATGTTCAGCGCCAGTCCTCGCTGAAATATGGCCGAGTTCACATTGAGCCAGTGAAACACGTCATGCGGATACTTCTTTTTGTACATGCTCAAAAGTTTCTGATGCTTTTTCGAGTCTTTGAGTTTCGGGAAATAGACCACTAACAATTTAACCTTTTTGTCGCGACGAAGGAACGCCTGCTCAAAACTCGATAAAAATCGTCGAAAGTTTTCCAGTCTTCCGGCAAGCGGGACGACAAAATGTACGGTTTCCAAGTGGTGGTTCGGAATTGTACGTAAATGTAGCGGCGTATAAGGCTGCTGGAATTGCAACCATTTTTTCGTGACGGATTTTCTCTGCTTTTCCCGCGCAAAATGTTGAATAAGATTCACGCTGTTCAAGAAAATGATCGACTGTTGGCCAAAAACAGGATGATAACGGGAGTATCCTAAAATGTCTTTACCAAAACGCATTGCATGGTACGCTTTTAGCTCGTTTTCCTTTTGAATAACTTTCTTTCCATCACGGACTACCTTTAAGAGCCCATCTCGTAGTGAATCATGGATCCAGCGCAATGGAGCCTTTTCTGTGACCGAAAACACTTGTCTCGTGTTAAAATGCTCCCAGGGGAGTGAGCTATTGCTTTGAATGTTTCCAAAAAAGTTCGCTCTTTTTTGGAAAACGTTTGAAGAATTTGTTACTCTTGCGGTTGTACGCACGAGTTTTGTCGCCACGCGGGAATTTTTGAGTCGATGTCTCAGTAACCAAGCCTTGTGGTCTAGTTCTTGTGTTGCCATGGTGATATAGTGCACGTGAAGTCTCCTCATGTAGGCCGGGTCTTTGATTGGATGGAGTGTAATGGCGTTGGCTACTTCTGGTGTAGCCAAGCTGTCGTGGTAGGCTTTATCTTGGTTTTCATAGACATGATGGAATAATTCTCTCGTCTAGAAAAAGACAAGAAATTCACTTTTTGACTGGAACAACTTGGACGTACTATTTAAAAAATGAGCAGGAGTGTTTTATTAGGTTTAAAGCCACGAGCGCGCAGCGCGAGTGGCTTTAGACCCAATAAAACACGACCTGCGAGTTTTTTAAATGGCTTCAAAAACGTATGCATATTAAGTCAAATCTTTATATAAAAATCTTTATATAAAAATCTTTATATAGTTTGCATAACAATGGTCTTTTGTTAAAGTGTTCTTTAGCTGGTATAAAGACGTATGCACGTGACTAATTTCTTACTCAAGATTGGATAATTGGTTCATAAATTATTAATGCGTTTTTGAAAGAAAGATAAAACTCCCTAGTAGTATTTCTACATTTGGGAGAAACTTTTTCAGCAATCTTTGAAACTTTTAAAATATTTTTCATAGTCAAGTAGTATATGCATGTCTTCCTTGTAAGTTTGTTTATTTAGTTCAGGACGTATCTGAAAATCACTTTGTGAGAAAGCAAAATTAAGAAAAATATTAATTAAAAAAGGAAAATCATTTCTTGTGTTTTAGCACGAATCATTGATGGTTACGAATTTTACAACACGTCGCACTTAATGCAAAGCTTCATATATATCGGGAGCACTCGAGTCCAAAAAATCCGAAGTTTCATTCCAAGATATATAGAGCTTTTCAATAGCATACGTAACGATTGCGAACAGAGCCTTACTCACCTCGTAAGCCCAGGGGCACATGACTCCAGCAAAATTTCTCAAGCATCTCCCGACCTCTGTATCTTCATGAGAAGTCGCGGTATTATCCAAACAAAATTCTAAATGTGGCGTGACCATTCTCAGAACACCACGAGACATGATGATACTTGGCCCACCTATGCAGAAATTATCTCCATCCCTCAGACCCAGTCTCCCTTTCTCGTGTTTCTTGCCCTGCCCGGCTTGACCAAGCAATAACGGCTCCGAACTATCTATCATCCGCAAATACGCCGCTAATCTTCCCGTCCTTATATAAACATCGTCGTCTGCGCGTATAAACCATTGAAATTTATCGATAAAATTGTCATGAATATATTTCAGCATCGCCAAGGATTTCCGCTGAGGCGGGTGCACGTTATCCGGTACGGTAAGATACACCACCGGAAAGTCGACCCTGGGGGTTGTGTCCCCCTTACCGGCGAAAAATACCAACCGACCTGGAACTTTATCACCCCAAGTATTATGTACCCCTTTCGCACGCGTTGTTAGAAATTTTTGTGAAGTCATAACGCCGATAAATAAAAGGTCTCGGCTTTCAATTTCGTCTCTAAGATGCTTTGGTTTTGTTGGCTTTGCGGCATTCTGTAATTCTTCACAAATTCGACTTTTCAATGTACCTGGTCGCGGTACAATATAGCGACACCACCAAACGCCAATCGTAAAACTGAGGGTAGCACCGACCAAGAATGTCCATAGACGCATCGCCACTAATAGTTTTAAAACCATAATTGTTTCGATAAGTATAAAATCGCAAACCACATATTTCGCTGTGAACCGATTGTTTAATTTTAAACCTCATTAATCCGTGGAATTAATATCACAATATCCGAAAATCGATTCTTTAACGGGACATTTTGTAACTATATCGTTGAGTGCCTTTGAAATCCCTTAGGAACTCGCCAGTTAATTGAGAATAGTGTTTCGATACAATACTAATGTTAACAATAATACATTAAAGAAAGTTCGCTGTTCGATTAATGCATTCGTTCCCCAACGCTGAATACACATTTTAATTCTTCAGTAAATCTTTCGTTGCCCATAGTAATGTTTCAGGCTTTATGCGAGCCTCATTTGAATTTATTATACGCTTAATTGGTTTTACGTCGCGTTTATGAGGTTATTTGAGATAAATATAACTTTTAAATCACTTTTTATAAGCATCAGAATAACCTTAGAGCATTTAACTATCTCGGGGAATCTTAATCGAAAAATGCAATTCAGTTTGTTGCAATCGACTCGTCGAGTCTCGCAATATATTTGTTACAATTAACAACTGCTGCGAAAAGTCAGAACTTGATTTTGGTGCGTTGTGCAATACAATGCCGTTGAAAGGGGGGCGGGGTGGGTGAGGTAGCATCTTTCCCCGGCCCCCAACTCAAAGTGACGAAATTCCTTAAACATACTTGACACAAGATTGCTCAACCGACAATACAAATCCTAGCTGTGTCAATGCTCTTCGGGTGGCCCCTGTTCATATACATAAAGTCATATAACTGATACTTTAAAAGTTTCATGAAATTCAATTTATTTAAATAATATTTGATAATAATAATAATATTTAATTGTTATGTAGCTCATTCTACATGACGATAAATAAAAGGTCGGGACCTTTCAATTTTTCATTTCTAAGATACTTTGGTATCGTTCCAACTTCTAAAGTATAGAATATTAAACACAAAGAGTCGGGATTAAAAATGAACATTTTGGGCCCAATATTAATTAACCCAATTCAGATTATCATTTGGATAAGTCTTTTGACCACACAGAACGGTTCCTAGGCGATGAGTTTGCATTCAAAACGATTTTGTTTAAACAACTAATTTAATATCTGACAATTTTTTGATCGTAATTGTGTTAATACTGACGTGTTTTGCTAATTGATTATTGGCATTGCTTCGTATTGTGCTGCCGTGTCAAGCAGTGACCCGCATATAGAACTGGAGCGAGAATTTGGGTCAAAAAAGTGAAGGCAGGCTTGGCTTCACTTCTCAAACGCACAAGTTGTTACAGGTCTGCAAGCAAGTTGCTACAAATCTGTTCGCAAGCTGTCTTGTTTCCAGTAGTTGTAACAAGTTTGGAACAAGCTGTTAACAACTTGTAACAAGCTTGATGGCATTATCAGACTTGTTACAACGTTCTTCTAGCAAGTCCAATACGACTAGTCATGTTAATAACAAGAATGTTACAAGGTTGACGACACAAGGTTGTAACAGTATTGTTATATCATGACTGTATCGGACTTGTCAGAACAACCTTGCAACAAGTCTGATAATATCAACACAACAAGGTTGTTTCCAAACTTGTTGACAACTTGGGACAAGCAGTGCGAACACAACTTGTTGACGGCTTGTTGGCAGACTTGCTACAAGTTGTGAGAATTTTGCGTGTGTAGGCCGAATGATATATATAGAGATATATAGAGCTATCATGTTCAAAGATCATGTATGTATTACGTGTAAAAAACGTCAAAGCGAGTGAATGTATGCTGTGACCATTGAGATGGGCTATATTTTGTGCATTGTCATTGGGGGAATTGTTTGCCCGTTTGTTTGTGAGCGATGACCGTAGTAAACTAGATACTGTCCAAGTCTTATCCGCAGCCTGCCTGCATTACTCGTTCAGTTGTTTTGATGATATTCTAAGTTTGATGAATGCGATCTATTTCAATGTTACAATTTCTTTCAAGAGATGCCTTGCTCGAATTCTTTCCAAGTTGCATTGTATGTGGCTGACGTTGCTTGTTATGATTGTGTTGAAGAAAAACTTGCATACCGACAACAAGCTTGTCACAACTGCAAAATTATAATTCTGTTCTAGGCTTGGCAATGGACCATTTGCATTATAGACTAAATTTTGATCTAGACAAATATTTCATCACAGCTTGAAAGAGCATCACAAAATTTGTAATATTCCAAAGTTTCGTTACGAAATGTTGTAAAATACGGAAACTAAATATAACCTTGCGAAGTTTGCAATTTTCAGTCATTTTAGATTACAAACGGGAAATTGATGCCCCAACACCCGATTGGGCTGTCAATTTCCCGTGCGTAATACAAAATGACTGAAAAACGGCAAACTTCGCAAGGCTATATTCAGGGACGCCGGAACTGGGGGGGGGCAGGGGGGGGGGGCGGCTGCCCCCCTTGCCTTTTGCTAGGGGGGGCAGGGGGGCAGAAGTGCCCTTTTAGTTGTAAAATAATACGTGATAAATCACATTTCCAACGATGCTTTTTATAGGAAAATCACGAGATTCAGGTAATTTATAGTTTATATTTATAAAAATTTTGGGAAATTTTTGGAATTTAGAAAAATATTTTGAAGAAATGGCGAAAATTTAAGATATCCGGAAAATTTTTTGGCTTCACGGAAAATTTTTGTATGTCCGGAAAAAATGTTTGACCCCAAGGTGTGATGGAATTTTTGTCTAGATCAAAATTTAGTCTATAATGCAAATGGTCCATTGGAGGAGGCCGCACGAAAATCACTTGGTGATTGTAAGAATCGTTTCTCACAAAACTGAGAATGGCTGACATCATGGGATATTTGCAAATCGGAAACAATGTTGTAACAAGTCTGCAACACAGCTGTAACAACTTGCGTGTTCTAATACGCATGTACTCCTGTTATCCTTCATACATTGTTTCAGAGAAAATCCTTCAGATAACCTTTCTTAAAGATATAATCAAACAAACTTTTTGTCGAATCAAATCTGTCCGTGCATGCTTTATCTTTTGGCAAACATGGCGGCCGTGAGGAGTCTAGCAACAAGAGTCCTGGGTCGGGTGCTCTGAATACCTCGAGCATGCGCTGTTCACGTGTGATGAACATGTCGACAAATGAAGACGTCTCTAAGTCATTCTCTGAACTCGCATTTCTAACTGGATGTATATCTTTCAAAGCTATGACGTCATCACTGTACGCACAAAATGTTGAATAATTTTCAAATTCCCATCGGCCACTTTGGTAAGCGTTCTTTTTGTCGCGTGTTTTTAACGCCATAGGAAAATAGAGTCTCGTCCCTTTTTCGGTATTCTGACGACAGCGTTCAAGAAAATCTGCGCTGATAATGAAATCTATTTGAGTGAATAATAAAAGTTGATTTTTGGAAAAGTGTTTTAAAATAATTTCCACGGCAGTCTCCCGATTGAATTTGCCGTCTACTTCAAGCCAAACGAATCTAAAATCACCAAATTTCTTTCGGTACATCTCAAAAATGCTCTTGAATTTTTTGCTTTGAGCGACTTCGCGAAAATATACGACAAACACTCGCAAGGTCTCGTGAAATTTTTCCAGCATCTGACGAACGTTTTTCAGAAAATTTTCGAAGAGGTTTATAGGAGCTTGGCAGGGTAGAACGATGTTGATTAACTCGTTTTTCGGGTTGTCTTGCTGTACTCGAGCAGTTAAACTGCCAAACGTATTTTTAAATTTGACGCGTCTAAGTTGACGAAGAGTTTCGAGTCGCCCTTTGATGTCACGCTTCATACGAACGGTGTAGTGTATTTCATATAAGTTCCCACGAATTGGACTCTCCCTTGTATAACCGACCTCAAATTCACCAAAATAGAAACCATGATATAGTTCGGGTCTTTCCTCTTGTATAATGTTTTGCTTCGCTTTTTCCGTAACAAGTTTAAGAGTTTTCGCTTTTGAGCTGCGAATTACTTCAACTGGGGTCGAGAATTGTTGCACGCCAAAGCTTTGTAGGTCTCGAAACATCGCCCAAGTTTTTGGCGGGAGATTTTTGCCGTGAACTCTCTCCTCGGCAGTGTGAAATTCACCGCATTGTTCCAGTTTGCAATAATACGAGTCTGGATTTCGGAAGAAGTTTACGGAATGATTGGTCTTCGAAGCAGCTAGTATCTTCTCCGTGTTTTTGATATGTTTTTTGAGCTTCCGTGCGCGGTTTTGTCTTTCTCGCTGTTTTATGCTTAAGAAATGATGGTGTAAACGAAATAGGTAGCCCGCGTCTTTGACAGGATGTAAGCTGACGACTTTTTCAAATGGTATTAAATCGAGATCGCCATGGTAGGCTTGTTGGTCATCGCCATAGTCCTGATGGAATATTTCACTTGCCTAAAAAGATGATAAATATCAATTAATAAAATTTTGATTTAACATCAGTCCAGTGGACCAATAGATTGGTAAACCGGCAGCTGTTATCAGAGTGATAAAATAATGTTAGGGAGAGGTCATTATTTATGGAGGGGGGGGGGGAAGGGGGGGGGCACAGAAGAGAAAAGGGTTGGGTAAACAACATTTTGAGTGAGTAAAAGGTTGGGTAAATGAAAAACAAAACAATTGGAGATTTGGGTAATAAAAATTTATTGTCATTTCCAAAGCATGACTCACTCAAATATTGAAGACTAAAAAGCAGTGTCAACAGTCATATGTCAATACAATATGTAAATCAATCAGAGTCACTATCTTGATCATTTTCCGATTTGTCAGGAGGAAAATTGTGTCGCCAAAGAAATTACATGTGCAGACAACATGAAACTTTGGACTGCAGAAAATTGCACAAGCATTTACCAAACTCGTGCCACAGAAGTGGTGAGGGACATGTGTGACAACTGAATGGTATCCTTTGTACGCTGTTGTCCGTCATCAACCTTGTATTAAATGATAACAACTTGTTCCAAACTTGTCACAAACCAGAGCAGCTTGTTGTTGAATATTGTCAACACTAGATCACGTCTCCAGCAAAATAAGGCCCGTCTATTTCAAGAGGATGATTGTCACGGATGCGAAACTCTATAAGACACTCACCTCATATCCCCAGGGGCACTGTACGCCCACGAACTTTTTTATACAGCGGCCAACTTCACTATCCTCATGCGCAGTAAGTGTATGCTTGATACAATGGTCTAAATGGGGATAGACTTTCTTCAATACCGATCTACTCATCACTATCCCCGTTCCTCCTATACAGAAATTACTCTGTTCTTCTAGTCCCAGTTTTCCCTTCTCCTCGGTCGTACCGATGCCCGGATGTCCAAGTAGTACGTCATCCCTGTTGGAAATGCTAATCAACAGCGCACCCAAGTTATCGCTGTTGATATAAACATCGTCGTCGGCTCGGATAAACCATCGGAAACAGTCGACGTAATGCTCGTAGACATATTTGAGCATCAACATCGCCTTCTCTTGCGGGGGGTATACGTCATCGGCAACCGGAAGTACGACCAGCGGTATATCCACTTCCGTTCTGTTGTCTGAATTTCCGACGAAGAATATAACCTTGCCAGGGATATCTCGTGCCCAGGTTTTGTGAATTGCAACCGCGCGCGTTTTGATCGTTCCAAAATGCGTCATGACGCTGACTAGAACCAGGCTCTTGGCATTCGTTTCGAGGCTGAGGTTCTGGTAACGCACAAATTGCGATGGATAGTGACATCTGTTTCGCCATATTGACTGCAAAGCGAACTGCTTCAGAGTAAAAACTGAGAAGGAAAAACCCAGAAAAAATCCTACGAAAAGTCGCATGAAGGAGAGAATATTATGATCACGAGGCCGTAAGGGGCGCATGATAATCACGATGATATAGTCTTGAGTAGAATGTAAAGTTATCGACGACTTGTTAACATTTTTTGTCCATTCTCTGTCTCTAAAAATAAAATATTTTCTGATAAATTTAATTTACACGAGTCGGAATGGGTGATTCCAGCTATAGACCAAATTTTGATCAAGGCAAGAAGAACGAAATCCAACACCACAGCTAGAAAGAGCGTCTTAGAATGAGTAAAACTGCAAAGATTGCTTGTTAAATGTTGTAAAATGAAAAAAATATAACCCTGTGAAGTTCGCAGATTTTGTATATATAATTATTTTTATAATATAGTCATCCACCGTATATGAGCTGTTCTGCAATCTGATTGGTTGAATTACTCGCCGTATATCAGCTCATATACGGCGAGTAGCGAAAAACAAGATGGCCGGTCCAAA